TAGATAAGTAGATATCGATTGTGTGTGTGTGCGCAGTTTACTGTAAAATAAACAATATGTTTAGGACTACTTTTTTGTTGCAACAAGTTGAATAAATTGGTGCAATCCTTCCATTTAAAAGGCATCTTTTAAAGTTGATTTAGATGATCAAGTGTTTGACGTCTGTCCTTCACGTATCGTGACCTCAGTGAAATGGGAGCTTTTTGCTCGTTTCAGCAATAATCTTTTTAGATTCAGATTTTGTTAAGGAAAATGTCTGTAATCTCAAAATATTTTTCCCCTCATACCTATCCAAACCTAGAAAACAAAAACTTTGACTCTGCGGGAATCCCGTTATTAGAAGCATCTCTCGGAGTTTAAACTGAGAACTTTTTCTCAAATTTTGACACAATGCTTGATCGGCTCAGATTCTGCTGTACTTTATAAATATCAAACACTGGAGTTAATGAAAAGTATTAATTAAACCGATAAATCTTTTCCAATTAGAACATCGCACACATGTTCTGGATGGGCAACAACTGTGGAAACAATTGTCCACTGTTGCTAACAAGACCACACCACTAACAGAACATGATGTTGAAAAAACCTCACTGCTAACAGTCACACTGTACATGCATTTTTTTCAACTTGGGCACCTTTTTAGTATGATTTAATTTTTTTTATGTTTTTAGTATGTCAGTAGTATTTTTAATGTTTTTTTTTTTGTATGCTAGTAATATTTTTTAATGTTTATAGTATGTCAGTAGTATTTTTAATGTTTTTGTTAGTATGTTAGTATTTTTACTGCATGCTTTTAGATTTCCTTTCCTTTTTTTGGCGAGTTGAGATGGTTCTCCTCGTCCTAAGCATTTCATTACATTACTGGCCTTGTGTTGATTTTGCACAACAAATAGACCTAACCCAACCAAGTGTCAATTTATCTATTTTTATTTCACCTTTGAAAATGACAATGGTGCTCTGTGCAAAGTTGGATGGTGATGCTCCAGCTCCACTTTTCCATGAAACCCTACAGTAGAACTTTCTTCTTACATTTGATCTGTTCAGGGTCTATTTGTATTATGTTCCTGAAAACCCAATTGATCTTTTTTCAGCAGTATTCTGGTGACACCTAGGGGTCAGATGCTGTTCATAGCCTTAAATAAAGACTTAAAATTGGAATTTTGGGGGAAAAAAACAATACCATAAATGTGGCAAAAAATAAATTAATTAAGGAAAACAAAAATACAAACTTGAACAGTATATTATTTTTATTAGTTTCTGTAACCAAACCAAGAGAATGTAAATAAGACCGTACATATCTTAATACAGTGATGAAACCCCTGTACAAGTACAACAAAAAACAGTAATTTCCCTCCCTCCCTATTCTATCCTCCATGTAAAGGAGTCTTCCCCAGCTAGGGCAGATTTGAGGGGAGTCCCTCACCACCGTAGGGTGCAAACTACTGTACATATCTAGAGGACCGTCGTCATTGCAACCCAAAGATGAGAGTGATGTGGGTGGGACAGCCAACAAAAAAGGCAGACAGAAAACCGCACTAACTGCTCCAAAGACAGAAACAAAAAGTGTCCTTTAGCCAAAATGCTTCAGCAATCGAGTTTAATTTTACTTTAGTTTTATCTTTGTTCTCCATCCCCATCCTGTTCCTCCTTGCCATGAAATGTCAAACACAGTGGATTCACTTTTTAGCACACTGCATCTTTTCCTTTTAACAGCCCTGTCATGCTATACACTAGCTAAGGGCACTGAAATCAGTCAATAGCAGCAGATCTGGATGCTTTTTACAGAGAAGTGTGTATCTATGCATTTGTGTACACACACAAAAACGAGTGTAAAAGCAGTGAACGTGTGCGTGACAGCCGCTCAGATGCTGGAACAGCTGATCAGTGATCCTACATCCATGCAATCCTGAAAGTCCGATCAATACTCTGCTGCAGAGGCAACAACAATCCGAGGTTTTTGATGTCATAATCTGTGACGGCTAAAAATACAGAGGAGTCCAGGTACAAGCTTTATACCCCAACACACACGCCTCAAGTTATTTTCAGGCAAGGAGATGAGAAAAAGGCAGGAGCAAAGGCTCACAGGCATACAAATCAAGAAATCAAAGTCAATCAAATCCTACAGTTTTCACATTTTCATTCTGATAAAACAAAAAATTATTTCTGAATCCATGTCTCTGTGTGGAATAAACCGTTTAGCAAATGCATCCCACAGATTTCTGGATTAGTTTTGGTGGGAGTCTGGGCAACAAAAAGTGTGCTTCAATAAATGATATCTCCTTAAGAAAAAAAAAAGATTCATTTGTTAACAAAAACATGATTTTTTTTTTTTTTCTATAATTTTTTGGATGTTATGGGGGAATATAAAAAAAGGGAACTCAGACAACCTATAAAAACGGCTAACTCAGCAGCACATCCCAAATTTTCTCTCCAATATTCTGTGTATCTACTATCATAGTAGATTTTTATAGAATAATTTGAGCAGCATTTTTTTAAATCAGCATTTAAATGTGATGAAAGAAATAAACTTGGATACCCTCATCTGCAGCGGGGCAAGACTTTATAAGAAAGAGGAAGAGGAATGCACTTTTACTTGACAGTGCCTACAGTTTGTAACACCATAGTCATCCTCCTGCACAGAGTCCTCCAGGGATGTGAGGTTCAGGTTGGGTGAATGGGGGTAGATTCTCTCTTCTGTCTTCCATCCAAAAATCGTCACCTAAAGAAGGCTGCAGACTCTTACTTGCCTTCTTCTGGTTTTATGGCCTGTGGCTTTATGGGGCCAGTTCGAATGGGCTTGGCCGTCGATATGGGGGGCTTGTCAGAATCTGGATGTTCCCCTCCAGCCTGGTGATTTGAGGCCGACATGTCGAGTAGAGGTTTTCCTCCCTGATCGAGTCGGGAAGCTTTACTGACTTGAGGAGCCTTCAGTTGTTGCTGCTCTGAGAAGAACTTATGAGTGGACTGAAGCACCTCAGCCCGCTGCTTAGCCTGGAAACAACAAAAACACAATGAATACATTAAACTGACCAAAAGTACTCACACAAACAAACAAACAAACAAACAACAACCTTCAGGTCTTGTTCAGCCTTCAGAGCCGCCTGTGAGCCTCGGGGCACAATCGGGGGACCAGTGGGCCCTCTGGGAGGGTGCTGAATGTGCTGAAGATGCTGTTGTCGAGGGTGAGGCATAAGACCGCCGCTCACATTTGGTGCCATAGGAGGGCCCATAGGAGATCGCTGAACTCCTCCAGCAAAAGAATTGGTGTGAGTAGGACGAACCAGAGGAGAAACGATGTTGGGCTGAGACAGGATCTGAATGGAGAGAAACAGAAAGGAAAATAAGTGTCATGTGTTAAAGCTTATAGGAAACAATAAAAACATAATGAAAGAATGTGGTCATGTTGAACCTGAGGGTTGAACTGGCCAGGGAAGTGCTGGGTCATTCTCATGCCAGCAGAGCTGGGCTGAAACTGCTTCTGGTAGAGCATGCTGTTCATCTTACTGGACTGGCTGCTAGGAGAGGTGGAGCTGGCCCTGCATTTAAAACAACACACAACTATTAAAAACATCGAAAGTCAACCCACAAGGAGTTAAAAAACACCCGAATTAAAAAAAAATCCACCTCTTGTAAGAATAAATCACATTTCTTGTTATAATAAAAATGTAAATTTATCTTTGCCGTTATAAGTCAGTGTCGTTTCAAACTATGTAAAACTCTTGTGTTCATGGATACCAACAAAAACACAACAAATGGAAAGACTGTGCTGGATCACTTTGTTCAGTGGTGTGAATCCATACATGCAGCAGCACCACCAGTGCTTCCACGACCATTAAACAAGGAGGACACCCCCCACCACCACCACCACAACAAATGATGTAGCATTAAGCTAGAGGTGCAGAATACAGAAATGTTAGCTAAAAAACTATGAATATGGAGGTAACATAAGATAAGACTTTATTGTCCACCAAGGTGGAAATTTTCCTTTGGCTCTCCAACAGTAAAATAAAACATTCATACAATCAAAACATCAACAATTTGTGCATAGAATAAAACACTTTGCATACCATACGTAAATGTTATAATTTGGTTTGGTTAAGAATAGTTATTGCGCTCGGAATAAATTACTTCTTATAGTCTTCTTATACAGTTCATTATCAGTGACCCTGTAACACCTCCCTGAGCTCAGAAGTTCAAACTGACGAAAAAGATGGATGTCATCTGCTAAAATATTTCTTGCCGTATCTTTCTGCAAATTGTTGAGACAGAGCTTCTTGTGCTTTCCCAACTATTTTACCTGCCATTACCTGTAGCACTCCATCACCCTCATGCTGAGCCATCTCCACCACCCCACAAAAAAAACTAACTGTACAAACAGTGCACAATACAGACGTCTCCGCCTCCACCCCCGTCGACAAAAATCACAGAAGATACGCGCGCCCTGCCAAGGCAAGTAAACTAGGGGAAACACTGAACTTAAATGTCCAACCTACTGATACAATGGTAACTTTGATGTAACGAGCACACACACGCACACACACACATATTACCTGTAAGGGCTGGAGGTGGGTGTGGTGCTCCTTGCGCTGACAGGAGGAGTTCCAGACTTCACATCCATCCCACTAACAAAGAGTTTGAGATCCATGTCCATCTGAAAGAATGAATACATTATGGTTAAATAAAGGTCAATAAATAAATAAAATAAATTTGTGGGTTAATAAACACACGAACACCCCCCTGCCCACACACATACATACATTATATATACACAAAATCCTGTACCTTGCTGTTCGGAGGCTGTATCATGTTGTGGTTAGGGCCCATAATGCCTCTGTAGGGCTGAGAAACTGGGGGTTGTCTGTTGATGTTGGGAGGTTGGGCCTGGGGAGGAGTGGGAGGGAGTGCCAAGAGGGGCTGGCCTCCACCTGAACCAAAGTTTGGCAGGGACAACTGGGAACCTTGCAGAGGGACAGTCACCTGAAAATATATATTTAGGATACTTCTTTAACTTGCAGGAAACGGTGATGCTTCTGTTTCATATGAATAAAACTCAGGATGTAAGGGTGTTACCTGCTGCATTGCTGAACTAGGAGACTGAGTGTTGCTATAATAACTGCTCTGACCATGTTGTTGTACCTGCCCTGAGTACATGTTTGAATGCTGATTCATCCCCTGTCGAGCCTGTGCACAAGACAAATGTCAGGTGTAAAGTTGTTGTGAATAACGGGTAAAATAAATTTACAGAATGACCAAATGCTACTGAAGATCTGAAAGTGATACAAGGTGTTTGCAGCGCGTAGTGCGATTACCTGCAGCAGGTGTGTATCGATGAGCTGGGAGCCTCCCATACCAGAGGGCTGGTTGAGCTGGGGCTCAAACAAAATGGGAATGTGCTGGGTGGAGGAGGGTTGCTGATAAGCCAGACTGGACTGGGGCTTTCCTAGCTCAGGGGCTTGCAAGCCAGCATAGCTGTGCAGAGATGGTCCTGACAGCATCATAGACTGCTGGGACAAGCTGCTTTGCAAGAATGCCTGCTGAGACCTGAGGGAGAGCAGATTGAGGATCAGATGACAAAAACAACACAACACAGATTTGCAGCAGAAAGTGAACACCTGTGGGACTGTTACCTGTAAGGCTGAAGAGAGGAGCTGAACAGGTCCTGTGGCTGTGAAACTGGTGGACCAGTGCTGAGTCCCAGCTGAGCTTGGTGGGTGTGTTGGTGCTGAGGCTGGCCTTGCAGCGGAGCATAGATGGGAATGGGAATCTGCTGCACTGCCGTCGGCTGTAAGGCATAGGAAGGCAAACGGTTAGAATTCCAGCATTACAAATGTTTGTTTTTAACTAAGAATATCCTACCTGGGAAAGTCCTGGCTGAAAGCCCTGCTGCTGTGCAAGGGGAGGGGGAGCCAAACGAGGGTGTGGAGTACTGAAGAGATGGCTAGTGTCCATGTAGAAGGCTGGAATCTGAGCTGCAGAACCTGAACAGTTGGTTAAATTTCAATTCATGAACTGATTTTTTTTTTTTCCTTTTTAACTACGTCAACACTGATAAGACGTCTAAAGTTTCTTCTTAGGTTTCATTGTAAACAACTTGATATGTCACTAGGTGCTACGTTACCTGCTGCAGACTGAGAGACGTACACCTGCGGGGTCTGCTGCTGCTGGGGGAGAAGAGGTGGCACACAGCCAAGCTGAGAGAAGCCACTGCTACTACTGCTGCTGCTGTTGGAGGAAGACAGGCTTCCACTTTGTAGCTGCTGAGGCTTCACTTTGCAGATGTTGGGGGGGTCAGAGGCTGAGGTGGTCTTTGTGCTGAGGGAGGACGTTGTGTAGGTACCAGAACCTGAGGGAAAGTTTAACCACTTGTCATTCAGTACGGTTAAGACAGTGACAGCCACACCATTCAGTGAGTGGTAATTACCTGACAGAGAGGTGCTGGGGGTTACAGATGCTACAGGGATCTGTGGCATGGAGGCGGAGGAGAAAGAGGAGTAGGACGACGCACAGGAGGTGATGGGGGAGGAAGAGGAGGTGACTGGTGAGTTCTTCTCCAAGCTTGGGGAGTTTTCCCAAGCTTTACGAGCAGACTCCATCTGAGAAGGTAAAAAAAGGAGTGTTGGATAATATTTTAATGGAAAGTTATTTTACCTGAGTGTCCGTACGCGTTTACCTTTAGTGTTAGATCAACGGTAGCTGGAGAGACGGTGCTGAGGCTAGAGCTCTGCTGCAGTGTTTCTCTGTGAGGGAGAGGCAGAGAGTGGGGCAGTGCCACCTGGAAAACAACACAAAGCACAGCTTTAACACAATCTTTACAAGTTCAACAGAATTCAGTCTTGTAATTACTCTTCATTTAAATGTTGCGTGTCGATGTAGGAACGTCTGCTCACATTGGCTACTAAACTCTCCTCCATTTTGTTCCCGCTCGTAGGAACACTGTCAGCCAGAGAGGACGAGGGAGTGGTGTAGTCAGTGACAGACTCCTGAGAGGAACAAATAAAACAATTGAAATGTTTTTACTAATTTTCAAAGAAAAGCCAATATTTCAAGTATGATAAAAAATAATTTTGAGTACTACATCAGAAGATTGACGTGTGGTAGTATACCTTAGAGTTGCTGCTGTACTCTGCTGATGGGGCTGTAATCATGCCCTCTATGTCCCCTCCCAACTCTGGTACTGTGGCATCAGTTGTGGGAGGACTGGAATCATTGGCTCTGCTAACGTTTCCTCCATTTCCTCCTCCCTCTATTCCCTCAGCCTCGGCTCCACGAGCATCTTTGGCCTTGCGGTTTTTTAGAGAGCGTTCCTTCCCAATAGGACCTGGTTTGTACTCCTTGGTTTCAACTGGTTCCATCTCAGGGAGCTGAGGAGGACAGGAAACGTTGAAACTGGAGTAGACAATTTACATACATGGTCAGTGGCATAAACTCTTTCCACAGTGCCGTTACCTTCTGAGTCTTGATGGGACCAGTTCGAGGTTGTTTCTGTCTTTGTTCTTTGGGAGCAGGCAGCTTGCTTTCAGAACCAGTTTCTAACAAAGCAGGAGCTCCATCGCTGTCGGTGCTGCCTGCAGATGATGGTGCTCCAAACTGGATACTGTCTATTCCCAATTCCACACTGCCATCTGCTCCAGGCTTCACAGCCTTAAAACAAAAAATAAAACGTGTTGTTGTTTATCGACTGGAAAATAGATCAGTCACAAAAAGATGCAACAAGCTAATTCCACCCACCTCTGAGGAGACTGTGCCAGTAAAGGAGGTCAGAGGTTTGTTCCAAGCACTCACAGGTGGCTGAGGAGGGCTAATGAGACCAACTGGAACAAACAAAAATTACACAACTCAAACATTTGCCAAATACTTCCCATCTGTAAAAGTCGTGTCATTTTGGAAGCAAAAATAAAGTCACACTCACGCTTCTTTACGTCAGGAAGCACGGTGGACCCTGCCCCCTTGTTCTCCCACAGCTCTGTACCCAGAGCGCTGTGTGTCTGGGTGGGAGCAGAGGGCAGGCTCTTTGAGGTGAAATCCACAGTAGAAGAGGGGATGGAGGCAAGAGAAGCCACAGGACCTTCCAGAGTTTGAGGAGATGCAGGGGGTTGGGAGGGGGCGAGGTGAGAATGCTGTGCAGCTGAAATGGGGGGCTGCTGTTGGGCACTGGGGGCAGAAGCTACAGGCGGCTGAGACTGTGAGGACGGAGGTTGTTGCTGCTGTGGCTGTGTCGACTGTTTTTTGGCGAATCTTGGTGGCAGCTTCCCTCCGCTTCCTCTGCTCTTCTCACCAGGACCTTTCTTACCCCAGTTCTGCAAGAGTTAGATTAGAAGAATGCTGAAATGATCTTTCACTTGGTGACATGAGCACTCCAGAACCTACTCTCTCTGAAAAGTGCATTAGCCACGTGAAAAAGCAAAACAAAAAAGACAACCATTTCTCAAGATGGCCGCCATTTGAAGTGATTCTGATTGATTAAACTTATTTTGAAGGTCTGTGCATCAAAATATGTATTTTTGAGTATGAAAAGTCCAATTCTGAATGTACAAAATTGGACCAAATTCTCCTGGACTTGGTTTCAGCTTTCAAAAGTAATTCTGAGTTGTGTAATGGCTGCCATCTTTAAAACTGGTGGCCATATTGGAATTTATGTACATCATTGAGTTCTGCTACTCAGAATACACGCATTTTGATATTTTCATCATCAACATGTTTCTATTCATTGAAGTTCTACACTGAATTTTTTTATTTCATTTTTTGCATTTGATGAGACCGCCATCTTAAAATCTGGTGGTCATCTAACATGACAAAATGTAAATGTTCCTCCTACCTGAGAAGTCTGCTCTTCTTTTTTCCGTTTCTCTTCATCCTGCAGACGTTTCTGTTTGCGGGAAACAACCTCAGTGAAACCATCATCGATAGCGCTGGACTGTAGGTCTTCAGTGGTTGTAACCTCTGGGTGGTCATCTATGATCACAACACCTACAGTAACAAGATGACATTGATTACATTTGAGATATATATATATATATATTATTTTTTTTTTGTATTAGTAAGTGATGTGTATACTGTATGTGAAATGTGTATACTGACTAGCGTAGTTGTTGAGGTCAAATTGAGAAAGTGCATTCTCCTTGGGCTTCTTGATGGCCTGTTTGGCTTCATCTTTGCGTCGGGCAGGCTGCTCTTTTACTGGTCTTTGGGCTGCCCCTCCAGCTGCTGGTGCCTCAGAGTTCTGCTGGGCTGCAGGGCTGTTACAAAAACAACATGCAGTTTAAAACTGGCAAATTTTAATGTTTGACAGAAACTCATGCTAGTTTGAAGGAAACCTGAAGACAGAAAAAAAGCTTCCACCAATTAATATGGCAAGCTATGTGGCCAGCATAGGCAAACAACTTAAAAAATAATGAAAACACTACATGCCCCACCGGTGATGCTGAAAAACCTGCTACAATTTTTATCTTTGGAGCTAGAGCTCAAATTTTAAAAATAGATAAAAAAAAATAAAAAATCTGATACCATTTTTACTGTATTTTTCAGCCTATAAGTCACGTTGTTGTTTTTTTTGCATGATTTGCATGCCCTGCGACTTATATGCTACAGAGACTTATTTATGGATTTTTTCCCATATTTATAAACCAATTTTTGGCTGAGATATGACTGTTTTCATTCATTCTGATTGAAAATATTGAACACTACCATTTTCAGCCGCTAGATGGCACCAGAGTAGAATGGCATGCCAAAATTTAAATTTTGAAGAAATGCACAGCAAGTCCTCCCATGCATGCTCTTACTTCAGCGCATCAGCTTTTGAAATGCAGCTGATTTGACCGTCAAAGTGCATTTATTAAGGAAAAGTTAGACTGAGACACAACTTTACTATAATTTCAAGCAAACAAATAATTGTTTTTAAGTGTTAATCTTGTTAAATTCTTGTTGAAGTCCTCCCATGCACGCTCCCGCGGCCGCCATTTGACAGCCAAATTAATTTTTGGTACAACACTGGCCCACATTTCCGGGTGGTCAGCGGTGACGTGTAACAAACGCGACGCGTCAGCGATGACGCATAATTTTTTCATTTTCATTTAGCCTTTATTTATCCAGGTAGTCTCATTGAGCCACGAGAACTCATTTTCAAGAGAGACCTGTTTAGGGAGCACATGGTGGGGTTAAGGGCCTTGCTCATGGGCCCAGAGTGGGGCGAATGAGGGTGGGGGCAAGTGTGGGTGTTTCACCTACCCCAGCCAAAATTTTTGATGTTGTCGGGGCTGGGGCGTGAACCGGCGATCTTCGGATCACAAGCCCACCTCTCTAACCTCTGCGCCACCAGTCCCCCACCAATAATGGATGTGACTTATACGGAGAAGCTACACATTTATGGATTTTTCCACTTTATTTGGACTGATGCGATTTATAGGGCGGTGTGACTTTTTTTCTTTCCCTAAATGTTTATATGGCCAATTAGGAAGAAAATGTATTTTCATTGAAAGAAGCCATACCAACCCTGCAGAAACATTTAGATCCTGTTTGTTATTCAGCTCAACTCAATTAACTGAACAAGAATTAGACAAAAGAATTACTGTGAAATAACAAACCTGTAATGTTTTAATGCAGCCTATTCTTTGAGCAACCTTCTTTGTGCAAGTGTTTATGAATTTCACACCAAGATTAACAGCAGCACATTATTTCAAACTCACCCTTTGCGGCCAGCTTTGCCTCCTCCTCCTCGCCTCTCTCCCTTGCCTCCTGTGTAGCTGCGGCCTGCTTTGGCTCCACTGTTGCTTTTTCGATTTGGCCTCTCTATAGGCCTCTGACTTGAGAAACTCCTCTTAGCTGCTTGAGACGTCTCGCGTCTTGGAGTCACACCTCCATCGGGCTGACTTTTATTAGGGGTTGAAGTGCCCTGAGGAGGAGCAGGTGCTGGAGCTGTGGCTACTGATGCTACTTCAGCAGCGGCCACCAGTGCTCCTTTCCTCTCCTCTCGTTCCCTCCTTTCAGTGAAATCGCTGCTTTCAGAAGCAGTTTCCCATTCCTCATTGGCTTGATCTGAAGAGTTCTGGTTTGACAAGTCAGGAGATTTGGTACCCACTGCAGTAATGGTGGGACTACTGGTCTCAGGCAAGGACACTTCTAAGGGATGTTGATCAGGTGTAGGTATAGCAGCTGCTGCTTCTGCAGGCACAGTTAGGGGAGTTCCTGGAGCTCTAGAGATGCTTTGAGAATATGAGACATGTGGAGTTACTGCATTAGAGACAGCTGCAGCAGGCACAGAAGGTAAAGAAACAGGACTTGCTGCCGTGTCACCACTACCTAACACTGCAGCCTCGCGCTCTTTCAAGCGTCTAAAGCGTGGGGGTTTATCCTGTCTTGGGGGTCGTACTGGTCGAGTTCGACGAGGCCTTTCTCTGCTGCTCTGAGTGCCATCTCCAAATTTCTTCCCTTCTAATTTAGAGGGCCGTCGATCAGTGGAAGGATTGTCATATCTTGTTGCACACTCTGCATCTTCAGGCCTGAATGTTTCCATAGGTTTGGAGGGCCATTGAAAGGAAGAATCTCTTGCAGGTGGTCTTTTATGTAGGGCTGAGCGAGGTCCTCCACGATCTCTTGCTCCACCTCGTCTACTGTATAAACTTCCTCTTCCTCGTTGGGAAGGCTCTCCTTTAGCAAGAAAACCTGGCCTAGGCCGACTTTCTTCATCTCCTCTTGACCCAACTTTTTCTCCCCCATGTGGCGGCTCATAGCTCAGCTTGTAGGGCCCAGAACGGCTCTCACCAGGGAGCCCTCTTCTTAGTGGACGGCTAGGTTTGGTGCTAGGCTCACGGTCAGAGGGTCCAGTATCACTGGCAGACTCTCTACCACCTTCACTTTCAGAGTCTGTGTCTGAACCACGTCGACGTTTGCGTTTTGGAATAACCTCAAAGTCCGAGCTCTCACTGCGCGTCTCACTTTCTTCCCTGTTGCGAAAGGCGGCAGCACCTCCAGCAGAAGGAAAATCAGAGCGTAACCGGGGCTCTCGATAAGGGTACTCTGCTCGGCAACGACCACGACTTCCTCTTGCTCGGCCACCGTAAGTCCCACGGTAGCTTCGACCTCTGGAGTAGTACTCCCCTCGACCTCGCCCTTTGAAATTTGAGTCTGTAGGCCATTCTCTCTCCCTGTCCTTGTCAGTTTCCTTCTCCCGATCACGCTCCCTGTCTCGCTCCCTGTCTCGCTCTCTGTCTCGCTCCCTGTCTCGCTCCCTGTCTCGCTCCTCTCGTCTGTGTGCACGGGGAGGAAAATTGGAATCTTTTCGCAAGGGCAGTTTTGGTTCTGTATGCTTGTCATTACTGGGCAGTCTGTCTGCTTTCTCTTCCTGGGAGGAGGAAGTGGGCACCCCTGAGGAAGGCTGCGAGTCTCTTGCCTTGTGATGGGCAGCTGGCGTGTCCTCTGCCTCAGCACCTTCCTTCTTGCCGTCACCCTGAGATCTAGAGCTTTCAGACACAGCTACAGCTGCAGAAGCAGCTTTTGATAACTGATCCTTTTTAGACCGGTCTCCTCGTTCTCCTTTCTCATGACGTTTCTCCCTCTCTTCTCTTTGCTCTCTTTCTTCTTTCATGTCTCTCAAAACAGGCTTCTTTATTGGTCCCGATCTGCGAATCAATCTTTCTCCCCCATCACGGCGTCCAGCCACTGATCTGCCACCCCAACGCAGTTCAGCTTTCTGCTTACTGGGACCTGGCAGAGGCAGCTTCTCCGGTTTGTGTAATCCATCTGCAGGAGAAGTAGCCCTGTTGCTGGTCACAGCAGCCTGGGAGTAGACTTCTTTTTGTTGCTTATCCGAAACACATTCTCCTGTGTCCTGCAGCTCTAGTGATTTAGTTGCTAGGGGTATTCCTTCAAACCTAGGTTCATCCATTTTAAGGGAGTGACTGGAACCCTGTGAAACACTTCTCTGGAGCATGGCTTGACCAATAGCCTCTACTTCTTCCCCAGTTGGTAAGCCTTGCTCATCAGGATCAAAGGCTGAGCTTACAGTGACCCTTTCAAGAGGTCCTGGCACATCCTCTGAGCCCTGAGTAAATGATGACAGCGAATCTGGTTCCCGAAAAAAGTTATTTTTATGCGAGTCCACCGCACTGAGGTCCGGAGCATAAATAGCTGGAAGACCTCTGTCCAGATCCAAGCCAGAGTCTATCCTGTGGAGGGGTGGGGGGGGGGGAGTAATGTTATTGAAAATATACAAAGTATATATTTACCAATTCTCCTGTAATGTACAATAATTTTTACCTTTGCTCTTGGTTATCTTCCCGTCCTTTAGGTGGAGTTACAGAGGGTAAGGGTTCAGACTGTGGGTATGGGTCTGATCCCCATACCATTCGTGAGTCTGAAGGCAGACCATGGTCTCGAACTGGTCGGGACAAGTGATCAAATGAATCAGAACTAGAGCTGGAGTTGTCACCTGGCTCCCTGCGTACAATCTGCTTCTGAGGCATCCTCCCTTAAAAGATTAAAATAAAATAAATTTAAACAAGTTATTTGACAGCTGTCATTACAAAAATCACAGCTTAAATCATAGATCTACTCACCAGGGTGAATGTTAGTTTGCATGTCTATCGGGGGACGACCGGACATCATACGAGGGTCCATGTAGGATTGCATCATGAGCCAACGAGGGTCAAACCCCATGGAGGCTAAGTGCTGGTGGTGGGGGCCCACGGGCTGATACATGGAGCGGTGTTGCTGCTGTTGGGTAGATGGTACATTACCACCACTGGATGGGGACACAGATCCCCCAGTTTGCTGCTGCCATTGCTGCTGCTGCTTCATCTGCTCCTGTAAAGCAAACAATGTAACTAGAGGTGCAACGATTGCAGTTTTCTAGCCGATCACCAATTTCTAAAAAGCCTGACCTGCCGATTCCGATTTTGGCCAATACCGATTTTGTTTTATAAGCAACACTGTCAGGTGTTATAAGCTCACAATGCACCTTCAATTTTCCAATATTACTTTATTGAAAAACATACCCTTCAACAATATCCTAGAAACAATACAAACTTGTTTAAAGTGGCCATGAGGTAGTGCTCTGAAATATAAATGAAGTTTAGACAATTGTTGTTAAAACAAAACAAAAAAAAAAATCTGTAAAATCAGTTTCTCATACAAGTATTGGCCGATTTCAGATTTCCCAAAATTAAGGAAATCGGCCAGCCAATTAATCGGCCGGCCGATTTATCGGTGCACCCCTAAATGCAGCCAAATATAATGTAACCCGTCCATCCATTATCTTTTACCCACTTCTTCCATTTTGGGTCACGGGGGTCGCCGGTGCCCATGTCCAGCAATCACTGTGCGAGAGGCAGGGGACACCCTGGATGGGTCGCAAATCCATCACAGGGACACATAGAGACAAACACCATTCACTCTCTCACTCACACCTAGGGACAATTTTAGAGTTATCAGTCTAACCTGCATGTTTTTGGTCTGTGGGAGGAAATCGGAGTACACTGAGAAAACCCACGCATGCACGGAGAGAACATGCAAACTCCACCCAAAAAGGCCCCCGGACCAGGATTTGAACCAGGGACCTGCTTGCTGAGAGGCAGCAGCTCACCATGCTGCCCTAATGTAACCCAAATTATTTTTAATTACTTATTTAATATAAAGCACATTCTTCTGCAGTTATTGCAGTACGCACTACTCACAAAAAGGGATATTTGGCTTTCGGGTAAAATTTTTGGAAAACGTAAAAAAAAAGAATCACACTACAGTGATATTATATCGTGAAAGTAGGGCATTTAAGTATAAGCATGCAATGGTGATCTCCATCTCAAACAATTCATTGAAAGAAAAATCAACAGCAGTGGTGGGTATACCCCCAAAAAATATGTCAATGTCTCAATAACTTGCCATGTGCCCATGAGCTTCAATTACAGCTGGACAACGACGTCTCATGCTGTTCACAAGCCAACTTATTGTTTGCTGAGGCATGGCATCCCATTCTTCTTGAAAGGTGGCCCTCAGGTCATTAAGGGGTCTGGGGTAAAGGGTTACAAGCCTCTACACGGCGACTCAGCTGATCTCGGTTATGTTGAAAGGGCAGGGTGCACTCCTTGGTAGGGGTGGGGAGGGGTATGGTAGGAGAAATACTGCTAATTTAAAGTTTGGTTCACAATATAGAAAATATATAAACTTTGACAAATTTGCTATGATTAGGTTCAAGTCTTACAAGAACTTGTGAGGCCAAAGTTAAACAGATTTACCTGTTGCCTGAGGAAACGTGGAGGCAACGACTTTTGAAACTGCTTGGAATAGCCGGAGATTACAGAGGGACGCATGGCAGCAGCAGCCTCTCCCTCCAGTTGTGGGGGTGCAATGGGGATTTCTTCCCCTCCGGGAGCTTCCATGTGAGACAGAGGCAAGTGGGGCTCATCCACTGCAAAAAAAAGTATTTAGCTTCAACTCCTAAAAGGAAGTTGAATAATTTACCTTCAACCTGTAAAGCTAGCTTACCTTTGTGGTCCTCAGTGTTAAAATAGTCACAAATGGGTACTGATGCTGTCCTATCAGTCTGGTTTTCCTCCACCAGGGGACCCACTTCTGCCAAGGAGGCTTCTCCTTCGCTTTGTGGCTCTGGAGCTAAAGTTGTAGGTCTTTGGGGTGGAGGGCTGGGCTGACAAGGCAACTGAGCCTCATCTTCAGCACTTGGTTCTACCTTCTCTCGTTCCTGCTCTATCTTGTCCTTGTCTTGATCCACTCTCTCTGATAAAGGACCTTGTGTGATTAGGGCCTGCGATTGTGAAACTGGGACTAGAGAAACAGGACTGGATGCAGGAATTGGTGATAAGGCTTCCTCCCCAGCAGCTCCTGCCTCATCGCTAGTGGTCTGAGAACTGGCAAGTTTGCTCTCAGTCTGTCGATGTTTTTCATTGAGACGTTTAAGTTTTTCAGCGCAAGCAGCAAGTCTCTGTTCTTCCATCCGTCTTTCTTCTTCTTCTCTCCTGCGTCTTGCTCGCTCTACAGCTTCAGAAACTTCAGACTGCTTTTTCCGCTTCTGTCGCCAGGCGTCAGAGTCCTCATCGGCAGCAGGTGCTACAGCAGCCTGTGGTTTACCACGGGCCGCACCACTCCCAGCAGAATGACTGACACTCTGGAAACAGAAATAAAATAAACTGTAAAATATGTTGTTAAAATATTAGACTCAATGGTGCCTTTGTGTAATTTAAACATCTCTTACCTGGTATTCCTGCAAAAAAGATGCTTTATTGTATTGCCCTCCAATGCCAGGTGATGGTGCTCTAGGATCAACATTGTCGCCCCAAGAAGCTTTAGCACCTCCAGGCTCCTCAGACCGATCATTCCAGCCCTCTTGACCATCTGATGTCCGAGACCTCATGCGCTCCACTTTACTCATCCACTCCCTAATATAATATATATATAAAATATAAAAAAATTTAAAAAAAGAAACAAACAGATTCCTTTAGCTGTCACATTTAACTAGCCTTCAGCTGCTAATGCAACCAATAAATAGTTTTAAACAAATTTTAAAGTCTGACAGTCTTCATTTTTTAGAATTTGAAAAATAAATAGATAAAATAAAATAAACAGAGGTGAGGTGAATTACTGAAATGTGCAAACAAAAATTAAAATGTAAAAACTAGAGAAGCACTGGATGAGATTTTAAGGGCCAATATCAATTATTATATATTTTTTTTTCATTCAACCTTTATTCATTCAGGCCGGTCTCATTGAGCCACGAGGACTCATTCACAAGAGGGACCTGTTCCAGACTGAACATATAAAGTAAAGACAACAATATCATTTTTGATATTTATCTAGTTAAATTTGATGTGCTGACTGTAAACAGGCAGCTGTCATTTAGTGAACCAGTTTGGAGTTTGAAATATCTACTGTATAAAAATAATTTGCCAAAAATTCACTGGATAAATTGAACAATTGGTACTTTCAGAGTCTGTGTTTCATCTGATTTACGTTTTTTTTCTGGTTCCTCCATTTGATTCGGATACATCAAAATGATCCAATAATACCCCAATAGTATTTTTGTTTTGGCCTCTAAAGAGATACAATTTAAAGTGGTAAAACTTCCAGTGTATTTTCATGCCAGTTTTGCCTTTCTGGATGACTGGGTGTTTAGGATCTGTGGCACGCTAAAAAAAAAGCCAATGTGTCGTTCATGTATCAGATGGTATTACCTGGGAGACCAAAGTTTGACAGTAGTTTTCTCCCTTTTTTTCAGTTTTGACAAAAATCGAACAACACTAGCTAAGATATAGCTTCCTTATTTATATATATATACATTTCTTTACAAGCTCCATGGAACATTTTCCATGATACAAATGAATTTAAGTTTTCAAATGCAAAATACTAAAGCACTTTGTAAGAGAGCTGGCAATCACAGCTGAGGTCATAAATCAGACTCCACAGACCAGCTGTTAAAATGTTTGAGCAGTACAAATAAACAATAGGTGAGAAAAAGATAATACTAGTAATGTTTAAAAAAAAAAAAGACTCACCAGTTGTCTCCCTTGATTTTAGCAGCTTGGTTCTCCTCATCGTCACTGAAGTTTAGCTTTTCAGTATAATCCACCTCCATCTGAGCTCCTTAATTGCACAAGACATGATTACCAATTAAACAAAATTTCAACTTTAAAATTAACTTTAATCCTCCTGAAGTTAATAACTCAAATATTGTAAATTTATAAACAATGCCAAAGTCCTGACCTGCCCAGCCCTCATCAGCATCAGTGTCCAAATTGTCCAGCTCCTTCAGTTCTGTTGCACTGATGATGGAGGGTCTGTCAGGGTCTTGGAGCCAGGACTGAGAGGGTGGCTGCTGGGGCCGGGTAGAACGAGGACCCCTGAGTACCCAACAGAGAACAGACAATGAACAAGTTCAGGACTTAAGAACAGACTGTATTAACATTTAAAGGCAGGGCTAGGAATCTTACATTTGTGCTAAACCATCAAACATTGTGCATTTTTATGATTCAATACCTTGAACTCATTGTTAAATATATGAGAAATTAGGTGAATAAACATGAGCTAGCATTTATGCTAGTGTTTTCCCTACCAACTTCCAACAGGACCGCTAGCCCTCCAATGAAGGTCATAGCATGTAATACATTAAAGAATGTCTGAAGAGACAAATTAATTACAGTACGTAGAAAAGTGACAACTAAAGATTTTCAGTTTTCATTTCTTTTCGTTTGTTTTGTGAATATGTGAATTTATGTTGAATATGTGGACAACATAAAGAGGCAGTTTTGAGAGGAAACCATATCAGACCGTTTATAGGGTCTCCCAGCCAGTCCAAGCCTGTCAACACCAGTCAAATTTGACAGCAGGTAAAATGGTTTACTTTATTTGGATTTAATCAATAACACATATAGCTCTTTAATTTTGACGATGCATGTGACTTGATGCAACACTGGCCAGAAACAAAAAGGGAAACACTGTATGTTTTAAATATTTTTAATCATCTTTTAATGTGAGTGTTTACAACGAACACGTGCAGCCCTGGCTGACTGATATGTAGTGTGCATCCTTGTGCAACGAGGAAAATCATACACACTTCGTTTATTTTTAAAATACGAAAGGCTTAATATTAAATCTTACTTTCCCCCATCCTGTGGTACTGGGTATCTGAAGTTCACATGTCCTGGGCCAAATGGCATTTGGGGATAGGCGTGGAACATCTAGAGCAAAGACAAAGGTTATCATGTGCCAGAGGGCCATGAAGACGGCACAGCTAATATATTTTCACTACAGATAACTACTCGTGAGATCTTTGGCTTCAGTTTGAAGTATCAAAATGTAACTTACATAAGATGGCATCATGCTCCTGAAAGCAGGGTCAAAGTGTGTTGGTACCCCTGAAGGAGGCTGCTGCCCTCCATTTACTTTAGGCTGCAGATGGCCAGAAGGGGGAAACCTCTCCCTGCTCTTCTCTTTCTCCGTTTGATCTTCAGTTGTTGCATTCCTGCCAGGTTCAGGAGCTTCTCCTAGTGGTGTGGCGGTACTAACGCATGTAGTGTTCTCCTCCTGAGCCTTGGCCTCCATCTCCGGGGTGCTGGATGCAGTGTTTAAATTCCTGCCTCCACCCTCACGCCAACTGCCAACATCTAGACAGGCACACAGAAAGAAGGTATTGATAGTCTGACAGAAGATTCTACCAGAGAATGCACTAGTTCTCACAGCCACGCAAAAACTAGGCAAATTGTGAAATTAAGATGCTCTAAGACAGACATTTAAAAGAACAATATACTTAAAAAACATAGATTTGTGAAAATAAATCTGACTATGAAGCAGTTTCCTTTACCGTAGTCCTTCAATACTTCACAGTTTGACAATTGCGGACTCGATCTTTCGCGGTTTTTCAAAGATTGGACAGAAACACAACTGGCTGACTGATGATGAGCCGCACGAGCGGAATAGATTGATTATTTAAAATAAAGTAATTTTAATGATATAGCACCTGCTGCACTTGTGTGCAGCTCACAGGTGCAGGGAGAAGCTCCCTCCCGCAGCGTGTCATGATCTCCGCTCTCTGCCACGCCCACTTCTCCACCGCAATCACACTCATCACCTGCTCCCAATCTCCCTCCTTGTGTGTAAATAAACAATTTAAATTTAAATACTGTAATATTTTAAATAATCTAGTTAAATTTTATTTATTTTAAATTTATTTTTGCAAATTTCTGTTTTTTTTTCCAGAGAATTTCCACTTATGTGCACATTTCTGCATCTTTCAGCCTAACTGGGAACAACTGTTCTTTCTCCACTTTCTTCTGGTAATTTAGGCTTTTTTCAGCTACTTTTCAGCTATTTCTTGCTAATTTCAGCTTTTCTTTATCTAATTTACTAATGTTTCTGCTCATTTCTGCTTATTTAAACCAAGTTCAGCAAATATGTGTTCTTTCTGCTTCTTCTGCTAACTTTTAGGCTTGTTCTTCGATTTCAGCTACATTTCAGCTAATTTCAGCTGTTTTTCAGCAAGTTCTTCAGCAATAAGCATTCACACTGCATTTTCACAGGAAATGCAGTTTTTCTAGTTAAAAGTTTAAATCCTAAAAATGTCCATTTCTTCTCCGTACTGCAGAAACTTTGTGAAGGTTTAACCTTTTGATGTCCAGATGCACTGATCGACTTTTGTCTTCCAACTTAAAATTCAAAGTATGTCACATTGTAAAATCGTCATAATCACAAAATATGTTATTTTTAAATTATTTTACAACCATGTTCAGTTGTTACAGTGTAACTGATCAAGAAGTACATTTCTGCTCCGTGCTGCAGAGCTGCTTGTTTGACGTCCTGCTGCACTTCTCTTGTACTACTATCCCTACTTTGCGTTTTTTCACTTACAGCTGGGGTGTTGGTGGAATCTAACACCCGCGATAAACGAGGGACTACTGTATATCAGGTGATTGAGTTGTGTATTACATCATCTTACAGAGCAGTCATTACTGTCATACCTCAAGTTTTTACTACAAAAAAGTGTAAATTCAAGTAAATACATTTTTAAAGCTGATGATTTTATAATTTGAAAATAAAATGAGAAAATTATAAAGATTCTTTTATGCTAATCTAAGATTGGCAGACATCACCAAATAAGCGACGTTCATAACACAAGACTGAATGATGTGATTTACTTTCACAAAACTTTTCACTTTGAGCCAATTGAATTTATTTTTACAACCACTGCAATCCCAGTGTTGCATTAGCCCAACAATCCAACCTTTTATACCTACAAACATGACATCTAATTGCAGGACACTGAGAAATTAAAACAGCACAGGTTTAAACTCAAAAGGAAAAAACCTCCACAGGTTCCTAATGAATACCAAGACACCGTGAAAAATAATGCTGCAAAAAAATGATCAAAGAAGCAAAAACAAATTATTGGTCTGCTTCTCAGGTGGTAGTGAGGACACACTCACATTACAGTGAGACAACTGAGGTAATGGTGGATTGTTTATTTGCAGTACATGCCAGGATTTTCTAGATGCAACAGAAGAATACTAATGTAGTTTTGACTCATTCTTCATTCTGTCAGCTGGCTCAAACAATTGTTCAAGGCCTCCATCTGCAGCACAAATGCAAAAAAACCTTGAAAGTAGGTAGCTCTCGGAAGCCACCCAAATTGTATTTCTTCAGTCTCTTGGGCTGTTTGGTTGAATAACACCAAGTGTTTGTGCACGAGTGTGGCCTTACTTTGAGGTCTGAGGCTCGGGCCTGGTCCATAAGGCTCTTCATCTGGACCATCTCCTTTTTCCACCTCACCAGCTGCTTGCAAGGTGGGAAACTCCTGGTGAAAATGGCTGCTCACGTGAGGAGCTCCTGGACAAACAAGTCCATCATTATAAATAATTTGAGGCCAACTTTAATACAATGACTAACAAGTCAAAGAGTTATCCAGTGGATATGCACAAAGAATGAATATCCACAGAATGAATATAGACAAGTTATTGAACCCCGATGAATACCTTCTATAAGTTGTGTTCACAAGCCATAACCTTTATACCACGATTCAACTGAGAGCAACTTTCTGATAGTGCTTGATTAATAAAACTAGAATGAAAGCTATAGATCTCAAAGAGGCATTTTTGTCCAGTCAAGTTTGGTTTTAGGAACTTCAACATAAAAGTCAAGAGTACTTTTGGGATAATTTTCTGTAGGTCATCCATGTTTTATTTGTAGATCCAAGACTTTGAGAAATTCCTTACCATCTTGCGGTGTCGGCTTGCTGTTGGCCCAGGAGCGACTGGCCCCAGTAGAAAGCTCTTGGGACTGTGCAACTGGTTTGTTTTGGGGTGGGGGAGTTTCCTGTTGCCTGTGACAAATAACAATAGTTTTAAGCAATACGAATTAATTGAATTACAAACTTTTCTCCCCAAATTGTTTAGTAGTAAACTTGCTCTTTCATAAAAACAACAAATATAAGAAAGGCTGTAAATAAAAGAGCAAGGCTCATGGATTAAAAGTTATGTGTTTATATGTTATCGTTTACCTCTCATCTCCTGCTTCAGCTCTAGATGCCCAGCCACTACCATCTTTGGGGACAATGTTGACATTTGGGTCATTTCCCTTGTTCTCTGCCTTCAGACTGGGCAAGTTGGCTGGAGGGGGCATACGTCGGCTGACTGCAACTTTGCCCAAACTTTGGAGCCCATGTCTGGCAGCCACTGTAATGAATAAAATAAAATAAAAACCAGTCATCTTACTTTTCAGAAAACAGATAAAAGCTTCACATCAAGTCTACAGCTTGGTCAACCCAATAAGACACATCTGCTGCTTCCAAATGAAACAATGCACTCGTGTAGCTTTGAACACAATAGTGGTAAATCTGAGATATTATGGCTGTGAAAGGAACTTGTTCTGATACATGAGCGCGCACACATGCACAATGCAAATTAAATTTATTTGTTTTTAATATTTTTACTTTGACAAAATCTGTTTTATTCAAATTTGCAATTAAGTTCGTCTCTAATGGGGGCAGCTGTGGCTGAGTGGTTAGAGCAGTCGTCCTCCAATGCAAGAGTTGGGGGTTCTAATCCACCAGCAGTCACATGCTGAAGTGTCCATGGGCAAGACACTGAACCCCTCATTGCCTCTGATGTGTGTCCCATCAGTGTATGAATGTGATCTAAAAGCACCGATTAGTCTCTTTAGAATGAATTGTTCAATTAGCTTTGTAGAGATCTAGTAGAGAGCTGTGTGGATGGGTAGATGAGGACATGGATTGTGGTGTAAAGAGCTTTGAGTATCTTTATTAGATAGAAAGGTGCTATACAAGTACAGTCCATAATGGCATCTAAAAAAGGACTAAAATGTGATATTACATTAATGTAAAAAATATATATATAGTTTATTTATCACTCTTGTGCTGAACCCATTCCTGCTGTGTAGTTTTATTTTCATAGTAGAAATGTCTAAAATTTAGGAGCTGCAGTAGTGCCAGTATAAACTGCAACAAACTATGGTAAACATTTTTAGCAGCGCTAGTGACACAGTTACAGCTCAGCAGTTACCTTTGCTCTGTTCATGTGGATCAACTAAAATTCCTGAAGAAAAATCTTGGAGCATGTGGCTTGACTACAGTGCGGACTAAAAGTCACTGCCCAACTGTGTGTGCACTGTTCTCATTGAACATGTTTGGTCATACTCTTAACTATTAAACCAAATTTATCTCTTTTCAGATTTTTATGTCGATTAAAGTATTCTGCTGTCATGGCTGTTATTCCAAAGACACCAATGTCTGTTTACAGCAGCACATTAAATGTCCATTAAAGTTCACTTTTTTCTTAAGCAGAAAAAGGTGGGTTTATTAAGATTATGAACAGTTTTCTTTACAGCTAAGAAATGTTCATGACTAATCATGCAAACCATTAAAAAATGAAGCCAATGTCAAGGTCTTTTCTTTACACCGTTACATTTCTGGTGAGACACAGCCATTGAACTGGGACAAAAACAGTCAAAATTCCAGTTTTTATTCGTTACATTGTATCTTGTGTTTTTCTGCTTACTGTCACTGGACATTTTCATAACCACCATAAAACTATTTTTATAGTAATATTTAGAGTAATACGTTTAAAAACAACCTTGAAAAGGGGTGCAAGAATTAACATTTATTTGTGTGACTAAATTTTCTGCAGCATTTCACTCATCTCAATTGCAGCATGGGTGTTTGTCCCTCACTCCTACAAAATCAACTAAATAAAGATTTGTGAGTATCAAATAAAAAGCCTGAATTATCAAAAAAGATCATACCCACTATAGATTATGTCAATAGTTCTCAAACTGTGGGGTGTGACCCCCTGGCACGGCCTAAGGAGTCACGACATTGCCGAATGTCTCTCCATGGATGAGTGGACTGTAATTTTGATTCATTGTATGCCTTGTACTAGGGCTGCAACAACAAATTGATAAAATCGATAAAAATCCATGAATAAAAGTGTTGGCAACGAATTTCATTATCGATTCGTTGTGTCGCGCAATTAAGTGTCTTTCACGGCACTGCGGAGTCGTTTTGTTCACCTGCAGTTCATTGTCAATGCTGACTGACTGAATAAAGTTTGAAGAAAAAAATCTCTGCAGCGCGAGTTGAACAGAGCGAGGGAGGAGGTGGAAACAGAGCAGAGGCGGTGTTTTCAAAGGAAATTAAGTAAATTTTACAAATGACCGACGCAGCGAAAACTGTTCAACCCGAGTCCTTTAAAGTGTGGGAGCACTTCACAAAGATAAAAACTGTGCAACATGCAGCTTTGAAAAGTGACGACACGACAAGAGAGAACCACGGAGATTAAACGTAAACATGTCGGAGTCATGAGGAGGACGAAGGAGCTGCAGCAGATACAACTCGTCATGTGTTGCAGGTGAGTCTCTACAATATTCACATTGTTGTTTCCAAGAGAGAAAACGTAACGTCAGTCTCTCTGGTAGATGAAGCTGCCGCTTGTTTGTTTGCTGATTAATGACAATGATGGAGAACGTGTGTTACTTTTTATTTAATTTAATTGGTACAATCAGTGTTTAAATGTGATTTATAAATAAACCTAACCAAAGATAATAATTTAATGATTAAGCTTCAACTTTTAATTTGCTGGCAAATTCTGAAGACACTGCAGGTATGGCAGGATGAATTGCATTTAAACAGGAATTAAAGTAATTTCTTACATCTACTCAAATGTGTGTAATTAAGTATTTATATATATATATATATTTTTTAATAGATATAATTTTCATATCATGGTTTTTTTTATTTTTATTTTTATGATTGTCTACAGTTGTACTGATAAATATCTCCTGGAGGGTAAACTATATCTTGACTGCAAGAATCAAGCTGTGAAATCATTTGTTTTCTACAACTGATAGTGGTTGGTCATTAATTACGATGAAGTTTAGCAACTTCTCGGTAAATATTCGAGCTCCGGGGCTTCAGCGATGTCTTCTTCTTGTTCAATCCGAAGCAGGCAGCCTGATTTCGGTCAGCCGCGCTGAGTCTGCCCCTCCTCAGAGACAGACAGATTTAGCGGGGGCAGATTGGACGCGGCTGGCCGGGGTCGAGTTGCCTGTTTTGGGTTGAGCAAAGAGCAGCGCCCCGCTGAAGCCACGGAGCACAAATGTCCACCGTAAAACGAACTTTACCGCGGTTTAATGTGGCGCTATGGCTCTGCAGACATTGCACGTTACTGTCTTGTTTTGTGGCGTTTCTAGTGTAAAATACTTCCACACAGCGGACATGTTTGGTGAAAATTTGGTTAGCTGTTAGCTACAGTGCTGCTAACTCAGTCCTCACGTTGTAGCTGGCTGCAAACTATGAAATAGATGTCCTGAATGTGAGACGAGTCTTATTACTCTGGGTTCATGAAACACGCCTCCGTTCAGGAAATCAATTTTGTCAGTGTGACGAAGGGTACAAAAATTAACCATTTTACATTGTACTTGTTCGTTATCAAACACATTGTACAAAACAAAAAGTAATGACACCAAACTCTTACCAGCAGTTTTCTGTGTTTCCAGAGATTTGCCTTTGTAAGTGTTGAAAAGGCTAAGGGTTGCATACTTTGTTTTGCCATCCTTTGCCTTGGTGCTTTGCCCTGACTTCTCTGACATTTCGCTGGAAACTCATTGAGTCTGGTCCTTTAGTCTCACCCCAAGAACCAGCCTCCTGGACAGAGAGAGGGAGAAATAAGATTTCCAATGGTACAAATGCTATTCAGAACCTGTATATCTAAATATTCAATTAACTTAAATTTGTCGTGTCTGACCACATATACATTGCATAAGAAAATGTGAATTAT